CCAAGTTGGAAAATTTGGCTTAAACGAGCAGGGCACACCAAATTTCATCATAAAAGATTTTGTTTGTGCCTTTTATTCTGGATGATAATGTAAACCGATTTTGACGATCTTTCAAATTCAAGCTTTTCTCGTTAAAACCAGCATATGCTCTGAATTTCATCAAAATCGCATAACATTTATTATTTCCGCCCACAAGAGCTGTGTGCGTGGTAGTACGTTGAATTTTACCATTTTCCACATTTCTTCATTGCTAAGTGCCAAACAGCACTGTGCGTGGCACCTCCCATACAAACTGAATTTTTCAGACTGCATATGAAGAGAAGTTTGCAGTAGATGCAGTAGAATACTAGAACTTGATATGGAGATAGTATATGAAATCAATCCTATACTAAGTAGAAAATTGGCAGTTATTGGAAAAGGGGGCGTGGTCCTCCTTTACATACTGAAACTTATATAATACATAATTCTGCTGGGATTTATAGATCATACAAGTGGAACTATCATACAGAATATCTCTAGAGGTATTTGAGGAAGGATACGGAAATGATTTGTGGAGATTTATGCTAGCAATACTTTACTTTAAGAGAAAAAAGTGAGTTAGTTGAAAAGAGAAGCTTTCTCGTAGTTGAGAGTAGTCTTGCAATTACGTATAACGATAAAATGTTAAAAATCTGGCCTGTGTGTGACATGATGATTCAGAGTTTTTGTCAAAAACGTCAGGTAGTTTCTGAAGCAATTTTCTAGAACTCTATATATAGTTATTTCTTAACATTTCGATTATGTTTTGCTGCTAAAACTGGGTGATAGCAAGTTATGAAGGTTATTACTAAGTCTTTGACATATATTGTGGAAAAATCATTGGAAGCTCATGAGATCATCTAGGATATAGAGTTGTCAAATCGCTGTTATCAAAAATGTGAGGTGTTTATATTCGTAGTAAGAAATGGTGGTGGGTTATGAATCTCCACATACATGCTTGATATGGGTATATCTAACCGGTGGAGTCGACAAGTTTTGTCGAGCGAAGATTATTTTCGACCAATTAGCTATTAGAAGACACATTGTTCGAATAAAACTACCCATCCGGTTCTATTGTAGCAGATCCAAACCCAAGGCATAACGGACATAACCCAGGCTAGTTACCTAAGCAGCTAAACTGTGTTTTGTGTCATGAGGTTATAATATGGCAATGTACGGGATGCAAAAAAACGTTATGCCTTGTCAAGTAATATTTTAAAAATTAACACACATAAGTGCCCGCTGTACTAAAAAAAGTACACTCCCAAAAGTTAACTTTTGAGCTTCTTTCGTTAATTTTAATTCCTTAGTTTGTTTAAAATGGCTTTTATGATCACATAAATAAAATTAGATATAATAATATTCCAACCGTTTTTGCTTGGGCGTAAATGGGTTAAGAAAAGTCGCCTAAATTAGACAATTTTTATGCGATTTCAATAAGTAAGGTATCAGTTTATTTGAAAATATATTTAATTTTAGATAGTACTTCATATTTTGAAATTGTAGAAATTATCCATGGTCAAAATTTAAAAAATTAAGAGAAATATGGGTATTTTTGTAATTTACCCGATAAAAAATCCCAACAACCCTAGTCCGGCAATCGATTATTATATATCATTTTAAAGGCCTATACATCCTCTTCTCAGATCATATTCGATCTTTGAAATCTAATCAAAAATAGTTATTCAAAAACTCATAAACCTACAAAATCCCATTTTCTGACATAAATCGACTAGTCGCGGCCTCTAAATGACCTTTGAAAAATCTATAAGAATAAGCAATGATATTTCTCATAAAAACGAATAAAATTAGGGTAAGGGGTTTTGAAATTTCCAAAAAGAAGAATATTCGATGGGCACCCTAATGTACATACATACATATATATCAGTGGCGCAGCCCGGATTTGGTGAAGGGGGGAGAGGAATATGGAAGGAACATGAAGGAAAAGTGCAAACAAAGTTTCTCAACGACGTTTCTAAACAATGTTTCTTCATGTTTATTTGCACCAAAATGCTCCAACAGCCGCGGCGTTTTTGGTAAAAAGAAACGCTTTTTGGTAAAAATGAAACGGCAGTTTCAGATTCCTATTGATGGTATAAATATTTGCATTTTGCACTTTTACTTATTTTAAATGCTGCTCTGCAACCACCAACTTCACATTGAAAAAAAAACGTTTAAAATCGCCAACCTGAGAAAACTGAGAAATTACTTTTCTATATACAATCCAGACTTTTAGAAAAATTTGGCTTCATCAATTCCCCAGCCGACTGCCGAACAGTATAATTCAATTAGTTAATAATTATTATATTATTTCCGCGTACTTAATATTTCTGAAAATATATTGTTCTAAAAAGCCTTAAAAGGAAGCAATTTTAACTTTGTGGTACTTCCATCTCTTTTTCGGCACTATTTTCGCAGTCCATTAGGTACAATTAGAAATTTTGAAATTCCATCCCTGGCTGATATACACAGACACAGATTACATGAAATGAGACTCAGCATCCAGCCAATCAGAGCATCCCATGATTTTGTGCTCTAATTTGGCAGCGCTAACACACCATGGGGAGCTAAACAAAAAGGCCATGGGGGCTTTTTCCCCCTGTCCCGGAGTTCTCAAGGGGACCCCTGCTCAGACTCCAGAGTATATTTCATAAGATGTTGATAAATCGCAAATCACAAAACAAGTGAAATATTATTTAATTTTGTGCAATTTATAAGTTCAGTTAAACTCTTTGAAATCATCCACTTTTTTAAGCCTTTCTATCTAGGGGCACAAAACTATGAGAAAGGATATGAATTTTTGAATAGAGTCGGCATGCCTGGTGAGCAGACAGCATTCGAAAAATGTGCAAACAGTTATTTGCGATATGTCCGACGAGATTTAAAATGAAATGATGCACTTAAAACTGTTTATAGGGAGAATTTTGCTGAAAATTCTAAGGATTATCTCCATTTGACCTTTTAAATGCCATCACAGCTAAAAATTTAGACACAATGTACCCAAACACCTGTATCGCTTTGCGAATGATCTGCACATTGCTAGTATCCGCCGATCGATCCTTCAATGTTATATTAAGGACATAAAAACTATCATCGTTCTTGTTCAACCCAGAGTCGAGTTTCAGGATTGGGCCACGTTATGTGTGTTAGCAAGGAAACTCGACTTCGCTGCTATCATCAAAGCCTTTGCCTCAGCTAAAGCCAGGAAGGCAAAATTCTGTGTTTAGAGGTTTTGTAAATAAAAATGTGCGGTTCATTAAATATTGAGGATGTATTGCAAAATGTATTTGTGAATACTTTTGATATTTCTGCTAGTTTGCGTTTATTAACTATTGCTTTATATCGCCCTCTGTGAGCGTAATTCTATCTATTTTTAAATTCTTCTTCTTATTGATAATTATCGGCTAGAAAAGTAAAGAAACAAAGCTAATGCTTGCTGTTAAATTTTTCACTAGCCTTGCCGGATAAACAATTTTTAATCACCTGATAGCTGTAAAAAATTTATTTATTTATTTAAATTATTCATTGAAATTGCTGCGGTAGTTACTTCTTTATCGGAAACTTCGTATCTCTATAAATTACAATTTTATGGGAGGTGGGCGGGGTTATTGTACGATTTAAAAAATTTTCAACAGGTTTCGTAGTTTAAGCCATGTTCGTACCCAGTTTGGTGCGGGTTTCAGATGTGGCTACAAAAATTTCATAATTTTATCATTTTATTCCAAAATTCTACTACAATTCCAACTTTATGTATGTAGGTCTTTATGAAGTCTTGAGAATGACGATAACCCGAGAGGCCTGAAGGTAAAGAATTTTACCTGAGATTACGACTCCGCGCAATAATACATGCTCATAAACACACAATTTTTGTAATTCAGCTTTTTGGGAGCAGTCGATCAATTGAAGAAACGAAGAGAAAAACTGGTAATTTCGCGACTCATATGTATGTACATATGTGTTGTATATTAAAATTAGTTTGTATTTAGTTTAAATGAGTTTGAGTCAGTACGTAAGTGCCTTATTGTGGCATTACTTAAAAAAACTATGGGGAAACTCTCCAATAAAGGCGTTGGTTAAAGGGGTGGTGGGCGGAAGGGGAGGGGGCGTGGCAGAAAGTAGTTATGTACAAAAATACCGTGGATGGCGTAAGCGGTTTCGGCCCCCTTTATTTCGCAACACAGAAAGGAGAATTCTACTTAGTAAGGGTTATAATACTTAAGCGCGGCCGAAGGCCGCTTACGCTCAAACTTCTTCGCAAAAATACTGTGGATAATTGCTTGTTGGGTTAACCACCCGCCTCTTTTTCATTCGGTCATTTGACAGTTCAACGTTAATAACTATTAGCTGCAAATCGCATCGATTATGTGATTTTTTTACATATTGTTGTTATTATCGCTAACATAAACTTAAACAATTAAATTATACATTTTAGTACAATTCCAAGTATTTCCTTTGCTAAAAATAGGCGTAAACGCAAGTGCAGGTAGTGATTTTTGTCCATTTTTCTAAAGGGTCCCTAGGGACCTGCAGTTGGCCTAGGTGGTCGGCGGTTGCATTTTTGTGAATGGCGGTTCATGCCCAGTCCTCGTTCGCCCACCGTCCCTTTAACCAACGCCCTTATTGGAAAGCCAGTCCAAAACTATAATTGATGGAGGTGTCCAGCATTCAAAAACGTGGCTAAATGCCCAATTGGAGCTATGTTGCGAAAGTAAGACATTTCTAGATACATAGTCCATGAATAAGCGTGTTCAAGCCTTTGTAGTAGTACTACGGGTTGCGTTACCACCTGACCCTTTATTTCATTGGTATTCAGTGATTGAACTCTATTAAAAATATCAGGCAGGCAAATACAGCTAAGTTAATGTTGTGAGATAACTATTCGCGTAACAATAACATAATTAACTACATACATATGTACATATGTAGTACATACGAGTACAATATGAATGTATAAATAAGTATCAACATGTGATTGTAATTACCTGCATCTGATATGGGGGAACTCGGATCTATAGAATTCGTACTACTTGAGTTCGTAGACACAGAGACTGTTCCATTCGAGAGATCCATTGACGTAGTATAGGAATTCTCTTTTGAAAATTGTAGATTATTATTAAAAACAGAAAAGCTGCCTGCGTGTGATACATTTGACGAAAGTTGTATGGCCTTCGAAATGTGATTGTGATGTAGTCGACGATTTGTGGGAATACCGGAAATCGCTGGAAAACCCATGCTAAATTAAAAACATTTTCAACAGATTTTATTACAAAAAATAAATTTACTAGGAGGTGGTAACAGCCCAGAACCATAGCAAGGTGGAGACAATAACACGGGTGGTCTAGAATAGAAAGAATACAATTAAATGCTGTTATCGGGCAATTGGAAGTGACATTCTCTACTATTTCCGTGTGCATACATACAAATTAACATAGGCATATACATACGCGCTAGTTTATGCAAACGTAAACTTCTTACCCAAACACTCCTACAGCAACGGCCGCTTCCCGCAAAGCTCGTCCGTGTTCCATCTCCCGCAGCGTCTCAGGACGAATAGTAGCTGTGTTTCGCGGCTGTCGCTCATTTTGCACCGCTGTAATTGGAAAATAAATGAAATACGAATGTGTTAACCGCACGCAGCACTTATAATGACGGGTTGATAAGATTCCAAGTGAACACACCCAGGGATCTGCATGCGCGGCTTGACAAAAAAATGTCATAGGTATTGAGGCTGCAAGGTATGTCATAGATATACATATGTACATACACATGCATATATGTCTATATGAATTGTATGTAAGCTTAAGTTTTGACAAAACCAGCGTCCGGACTTGGCTCCGATCGGAGTAGATTTACTCCGATTTCTTTTTCAAATTTAAAATCTACTACCTACTCCGCTTGACCTAAAATATGCTCCGATTTTTTCGTTTTTTGATTCACATTAAGAATTTATTAAAAATAATATTGCAACTTCTTAAATTTTTGCTCCATACCTTCTGTGGCCAAGGTTTTGTATAGCAAGGTGTAACATAAATTGTCTCTTTTGCGCCTTATCATTCCTTCTTTATTTCCCAAAGCAGGGGTTTGATTAAGGAACAGATAAATGTGTTGGAGAGGTGATTGTTTAGCAACTTGGCAGAGTATATGCTAACATTAGCTATTTTACCGCACAGCTGAAGAAAGAAAAATTTCAGAGGTTAATCTCATTAAAAATAAATACAGGAACAGGCTTAAAGTCGAAACAGTTGAAAGTTAAACCAAAGTTCAGAAATTTATACGCCGTCTAATAATTTACAATTACAATGTAAACACAATGTGATGAATTGAAAAACTACCTGTAATACATATACATACATATGTATATACTTATATGTATGTATGATGTTTGAAAACATCAATGTTTCCATCGATGTTAAAAAACGCGGTTATAAAAACGATACATCGGTATTTTTTTAAGCTCAAAAGAACTAGATTCCCATATTCGCTACAAATTGAAGTAATTAAATATGTAACCACGACGTACCTTAAAATCAAAGGCTACCTATCCCAGCGGTTTAGTAAAATTAATTTAAAAATTAAAAAATTCACATTTTAATATACGCTGTCGATCAAAAGCGGGTGAATGGTGTTTTTTGTTAAATATTTACAATATTTTTCAAACAAATATGCTTATTTGTTTATAAGAATATGATTCATGCTTTAATTAAAACCACATAAGTCAAACTTTCAAACTATATACAGAATTTATAAATTCAAAACATTTTCATCTTAGTTTTGAACTTTTTAATCTGAATCTTTAGAAAAAGGGGGGTATGCTGGTACATCGGTTATGTAATTCTAGTAAAACAAGTGAAAGCTTTAAGTGGCTAAAATATCGCTTTGATTTTTAATGATTTTTTTTTCTGTCGGCTTTTTATTATATTAATAAATCGTATCTATTTGAATATAAAAATATGAAATAGAGTTCAGAAAATAAGCTTTGCTAATCTAGTCCTCAAAGCTTATTTATATCCTGAGTAGGTAACGGTTGCACCAGCTTCCGGGAAAAAGCTCTCGCTTGGCACTGGTCGTTCGGCAGAGTACGAACGGAATGAATGAACGATGTCGCTAATTTTCACTTTTATAGTCGGTGTATTGACGACGTATCGTATGTTTTGAAAACATCGATGCATCGTTTGCTGTAACTGCCTAAGCGATTTTGGCCGAGTTCAACAAAGCACGCAAGTCGTTTCTCTTCTGTGCGAACAGACACCAATTGGAAATGCCAGGTGAAGCCAAGTCCTTCTCCACCTGGTCTTTCCATCGCAGTGGGGGCCTCACTCTTTCTCTGATACCACCAGCGGGTTCCGATTTGAATACTTTCAGAAATGGAGCGTCGGTGTCCATTCGAAGTACATGGCCAAGCCATTGGTGCGGCTGTACTTTAATTCACTGCACTATGTCCATGTCGCTGTTAAGCTGATACAGCTCATCGTTCCATCGTATGCGGTACTCGCCGTCGCCAATGCGTAAAGGCCCGTAAAATCTTTCTCTCAAATATTCCAAGAGCCACCTCATCGGATGTTGCCATTGTCCATGCTTCTGCGCATTTACCAGCACGTGCATGATGACTGACTTATAGAGTGTGGTTTTCGTACGTCGAGAGAGGACTCTACTCCTGAATTGCCTACTCAGTCTAAAGTAGCACTTGTTGGCAAGAGTGATTCTGCGTTGGATTTCCATGCTGACATTATTATCGGTGTTAATGCTGGTTTCCAAGTAAACGAAATTCTCCACTTTCTCGAAATTATAACTGTCAACAGTGACGTGGGTAACAAGGCGCTGACTGTTTGTTTGATGACAGGATATAATTCGCCTTGTCCTTGTTTACCACCAGACCAACTCGCTTTGCTTCCTTTTCCAACTTGGAAAAGACACAACAGACTTCGCGGTTTTTGTTTCCGATGATGTCGATGTCATCGGCGTATGCCAAAAATTACAGTAATTGTAGTAAATTGTTCTTGAGTGGTTCTGACTTGCACCTCTTATTATCTTCTCCAACATCAGATTAAAGAAATCGCATGAAAGTTAGTCACCCTTTCCGAAACCCCGCTTGGTGGCGAACGGCTCGGAGAGGTCTTTCCCAATTCTGAGGGAGCTGGTGTATTGCTCAACGTCATTTACACAGCCGTATCAGTTTCTCGGGGTTGCCAAATTCAGACATCGCGGTGTATAGGCAACTCTTTTTAGTACTATCGAAAGCGGCTGTTTTCCAAGATTTGGCGTTTTGTGAACACCTGGTCTATGGTGGATTTTCCAGGTCTAAAGCCACACTGATAAGTCCCAATCAGTTCATGTGGGATTCAGTATTTCACACAGTGTTACCGCTGAAAAATTTTCGAAAGTCTCAAAAAAGTGTCACAGCCGAAAAAAAGTAATTCAAATTTTTTGTACCATGTATACATACATCGATTTTCATTATTTTTCCTTTCGAAGCTTATATTTATAGTCAAAATAAAATCCACTCTAAGCTAAGTTATAGCTTTAAGACATAATTCTCAATGATAAATCCGTCAAAACGCTGCATCTAACTTTATAGTCGGCTTTATTTCATCTATTTTTTGATAAAAAAGAAGCAATATGCATTTATTATGAAAATAAAATTGCTATTAAAAACTGTCTTTACATCAATATAATACTTCAGTCACACAAACGGATCATTAGTAGACAACAATTACACTATGCGACAGTCAAAATCGGGATGGGATGAAACCAACGGGAAATGTTATATCGGTCAAAAACGAGTTATACGTGGCCCGGCGTTTCGCTGGGTCACGTCTAGGAATCGAGATATATCGATTTGAAGTTAGTAACTATCATATATGGGAAATTGTCACCTTTGGTGGTCTTTTTTTTGACATAACTCGAGAACCACTAGTCCGATTTTGCTCAACCAAATTTAAAAAAATTAAAAATTACAATTCCTTTAATCTGTTAATATAACGTTTTTCTATATACTCAACAGTTTTGCCGGTAAAATATATTTTAAGCAAAAAATATTTTTTTTCTTCATACATTTATTTTTACCGGCAAAACTGTTGATTATATAGAAAAACGTTATATGAACAGATTAAAGGAATTGTAATTTTTAATTTTTTTAAATTTGTTTGAGCAAAATCGGACTAGTGGTTCTCGAGTTATGTCAAAAAAAAGACCACCAAAGGTGACAATTTCCCCTATATGATAGTTACTAACTTCAAATCGATATATCTCGATTCCTAGACGTGACCCAGCGAAACGCCGGGACACGTATAACTTCTCTTTTACCGATATAACTTTCCCCGGTAGTTTGAACCCTTCCCGATCACTGACCCCTACCATTTGTCTCACAGTGTTATTATAACAAAGTTTAACCTTTTAAGTTTGTATATAAATTATCGCAGATTATTTGTTTGCGCCAGAAGCCACGAAAATAAATTTAACAGTAATAGCTTGGGGAAATGCTAAGCTACAAAAATGGTGCATTAATTCAATGCTACTTCTAGAGATTTTTTCGCAAAAAATTTTGACAAAATTAAAAGGTTGAAATCAGTCAAAATATTGTCAGAGGTGTAAATTTTAAGAGCCTTTGAAAAGTAAATACTGAAAACATTTTTAAACACACAAAAAAATATAAACTTTATGAAAAAATTATCAAAATCAAAGAAAAGGGGAAAAAGTCGCGGGATTCTTAAGAAAAGTTTCAGAATAAGGCTACTTTTAAAAAGTCGGTGTCAAGGCGCATCGATCTCCAAAAATTGTCCATTTGCACTTTAGTCGCACAACGGTAACACTGACTTCACACAATACGCTCGATAAGACCTTGTAACCTATGCTTAGAAGGCTGATCCCGCGGTAGTTGGCGCGAATGACGGGGTCGCCTTTCTTGTGGATTGAGCAGAGCACAATTAAATTCCCGTCGTCGGGCATGCGTTCATCTGACCATATTCTGCATAATAGTTGATGCGTGCACCTTATCAACTCCTCGCCGCCGTACTTGAATAGCTCAGCTGGAAAGCTGTCAGCTCCAACAGCTTTGTTAAGGCATTTGACCGTTTTGTAATAGTAATATTATCATATCTTAGGTATAAGCCATGAATTTTGTATGAATTTTGTGTATGAATTTTGAAAATGAAACTTTGGCTTGTAATATCCATGGAATGTGTTAATTGTTATAAACAGGACGATATATCAAATTAAGGGTTATTAAAATTGGTACCTCACGTTCATTTATCATTTTTCAATAAGTCTACAAGTTTTTAAGATACTAAGATAAAACTTACAAAAGCTATAAATTTTCCTTATGAGTTTTCCATTCTTCCCTACTTCAGCAACCAAGTGAAAAATACAAAAAAGTGAGACGAGATTTATTTAAAAAGTTTAATGTTTTCGGATGTTTATATAATATTAAAAGGACCATTGACTTGGTCACGCCGATTTGGTCAGTTTTAAAGATTGTAGTTAATGAAGTCAAACATGTATTGTCAAAGATTAGGAATCGTTTCATAAGTTAATAGTAAATTCAAACATATAAGTATTTACATACATTAACATAATACAATTAGGGTGAGAAAG